TATTTTTTTCAGAGGTGGACAGTAACAAAGTGCAAATACTTTACCTTACTGTAGTAGAAATTTTCGCTATTCATACTTTACTTTCCTTAGACACCTTTTTACTGCTACTCCTTAGATTTTTTGCAGTTATCTCTACGTTCTGCTCCTTACATAAAGACTTGTTAGTTTTGTTTCATTTAAGCAAGTTTTACCATAGTTACATAAAAATAATTGGTTTCAGTCAGACATTGTTTTTGTGGTTGAACTCTGTACTGCACTCTGTACTCTGTACTGAGATGTTTCTGAAGTATTTAACCTCTTGTTCGCCATGTACCAAAATAAATAGTTTTTCAAGATGATGAAAAGTTAAATTTAACACTATTTAACACTGGAAATTAAGTATAAGGAAGTTATCATCTAGAATTGAAGAAAAATATTCCTTTAAAAAGGTGTACAGTAACCAGTATATGGTTTAAAGCATATTTCCTTAACATTTTCGTCCTGCATTACTTTCACTTTTATACTTTAAGTGTTACTTTTTCACTTTTACTTGAGTAAAAAGCTTAAGCTGAGTATAAAAAATGTTAAACAGTAGGATTTATACTTTTACTTGAGTAATAAAAACATATACTTTTGACACCTATGAATACTTTCCAATTCCTGTTAGGTTTAAATCATGGTGAGATGTTTCTGAAGTATTTAACCTCTCTCTTTTCCTTGAGAGACTGACATCATGGGCTAGGCATCAGAAGCTTGTTGATGGCTCAAAAACTATTTAAATTAAACTATTTAAATTTAAAAGAGAGATGTTAAGATTCAACGGCTGTAAAAAAATATATATATATATATATATATATTTCAATCAAATATTTAAAAAATATCAACTGCTCAAAAACAGTACCATTCAGTTCAATAATGAAAGTCTGAGTTGAACCCATTAGGTTAATGGGATTTTTCATCATGTTCGACAATTCATCATCATGTTTTACTCATTCATGTGCTGCAATGCTCACAAAACACACAGGAAAGTGTGTAATCTCTACATCATCAAGCAACATGTTAAAGTGAAATTTTTACTGTTACCTTTTTTCCAAACAGTTTTTTAACATAGTTGCCGTTATTTAACTGCTTTAATATATATGGATAATAACTGTAAGGTTGCTGTATTTGCCTTTCAGCATCATCATTTTACTAGAACTATTAAAACTTGTACCTTTTGTATAAAACTCTTCCTCCGCTTAGTGATTTTGTTGATGTTTATTTTATTGTGCATGGATGTTACATGGCCTTTAACTAAACCTGATGAAACTCCCAGGCACCCTGCTGCTGTGAACTTGTACGTCTTTTGCAAAAAAGGGGAACATCTTAAAAGAAAACACATTTAAAAAAAAAAAAAAAGGATTGCAGTCTGGCCAATTAAATTTTATTCTGGCAGAATCTCAAATTAAATCTCTAAACTGTCAGTAAATATGCTGACTTGAAGTGACTTTATCTGCCATCCTTGTGATCTTCAGCAGGACAGTTATCAGCCATTTTATTTGTTGACGCTGTGTTGAGCTTCGGAGGCAGAAGAATTTCTCGTTTGATCTACATCTGATCAAAACCCAGAATGTGACTCACTGAAAAGCCCCCACCCAGTCAAAAAATAAATCCCACATACAAACATATACACTGTATGATTTGACTCGGTTTATCAGGGTAAAACTGCAAGAGTTGCTTGGATCTATCAAAGTGTCGCTCAGATACACATTCACTCTCTTTGTCCTTCAACACACACATGCTGTATTCTGGTAACAGCGACTCTTTGTAAGTGGCTTGAATGACTGGTATAAGGTTACCCCAAAAGATATTTTCTCACACATAGACAAACACACACTGTGGTTTCTCTCTATTCTAATTGCTGCAATATGAAACTGCTTCCTACATCATCAGAAGAAAAAAATGTGGCTGCAAAGAAAAAAAATGTGCAGGAAAAAGAGGGTGGTTACAAGGAGAGACATGGAGTCCGATCAAAAGTTGACTTGTATATAATCTTTGGTTTTGTTTGCCTGTTGGTTTTCCTTTTATCTCTTCATACACATACTTTACATTCAATTAGGTTTTACTTGTCTTCTCACTTTCATTGTCTTGAGTTTGTAAGATGGTTTTCTGTGCCTCTGGTTTTTTTTTCTGATTGTAAAAAAAAGACTGAGGTAGAATTTAGGTGTTATAATTCACCCCCCATTTATATGCATAAGTAAATAAAATATTGCTGAACTTAACATCTGCTATGAGAAATTGGTTTAAGATTTGACAGTTTGAAAAGATGGTTATTTCAAAGATAAATGCCAGTGAAATCAGTTAGTTCCTTATTTAATCGTTATACAGTACCTTGTGGAAGTATTCAGTATCATTGGTTTTTTACCATTTTTTTTGAAATTCTAGTCTCAAGAAGAAAATCAACGTTCAATAGTGAAAGTACGTAATTCCACAAGCACAATGTGAAGAGAACTTAAGAAATTGGGTCTAAACAGCTGTGTAGCCTTAAGAAAACCACCAATCTCTAAGACAAATAGGAAGAAATGGTATAAAATGCTAGGAGGCATAAGGAACTGAGGGTCTGCTGAGTCCAGCATTAACCTGTTCCAGTGTGATGGGTGTATCAGGGTAACAGAAGAGGCTTGTAAATTGATGCAGCCTTAATCTCTTGAGTCTACTGTAACAACCTTCAGGGAAATTGCTATGATTTGGGGTTGCTGTAGTTGGTCTGATCCAAGCTCAGCCGATTACCAAGATATTCCATCAATGTTTTATCTTCCCTAATAGCATAGTCATATTCACAGATAAAAAAGCTAAAATTCATTGGGCTCAAATTGTGAATGAGAGGTTCGTGGAGCATGAGTCATTATTTACTTACATGGATTGTCAACCTCTGTCCAGACTTTAACCTCGGGCTAGGCAATAAATCAGTGAATATCACAATAGACACCTGATTAATATCAATAGAAAAAATGTTCAGTAATTTCACTGAACTCCAATCCGGAGTCACTTGGTATTCTGGTGGATATAGGCAATTTTAAACATCTAATAGGATCAGATTGGATTTTCTTGGTCCTTGTTCAATTAAAAAAAAACACTAATCATTAATGATCAATAATTGACTGGTGTGTTTATGGAACAGCAACCAGAAAAAAACAAAAAAAACAACAACAACAACACATTACTTGGTGTTAGAAGTAATTAAGTATGTTTCAAGTGTTCTCACATGCCTCACAGTGAAACAAGTGGTGGCGGTGTCATGCTATGGGGATGGGTTTCTGCATCAGGGTGTTGGACTCCGTCTAAAGTTGAATTAAGGATGCATGATGCTGAATGCAGGGATATTTTTGATATAAAAACCTATGGGTCTATCTGATTTAGCACAGAATGAAGTTCAACTTCAAGGAAGGCTATGGCTAAAAGCAGGTACAGTATTCCCAAAGTGCGTACGCTTCCTCTAGAGGGTGGGCTTGAAGAACACAGTGAGATTTTTTTTCTCACACAATAAAGATGGGTAAAAAAAAACATTTCCTTTTTTAAAAATGTATTAAACATTGTTTTTAACTTTAGTAAATGGATAAAAATCTGTTCACAGGAAGATGTGCTTAAATAGAAGAAGTTTTTTTAAGATGCATATTTTAGTAAGTTATCCTATGTATTGTAGCCTCTACTTTAACCAAACAGCTCTGCCCATGGTGCTGTGACTCTGAACCATAATTTGAATTCAGTTCTTATTTGATTTCCATAATATGTGTTGTGATGAAGGGGTTGTGTTATTTAAACTGCAATTTTTAAATGTTACTGTTGTTATGATGTGTTCTGGTTATTCGAGGATGATTAAACTTGTCACTTTTAATATGGCTATCAAAAAGCTTTGTTTAGTTGAAAAAGCTTTTTTTTTTTTTTTTACAGCGTTCCATTTTCATCGTTAAGGGAGGGGGGCTCTGCTAAGCAGTATGCTGAAGCAAAGCTTGAGTGGTTTAAAACATGCCTTAAATTATTTAAATAAAGTCAACACAAGATAATTAAGATCTGCAATTTAGAGTTTAAGACTGCTGTTCACAAGAAAAACCATTCAACATAAAGGAGATGGAGTTTAGCCTCAAGATGTGAAAATCCCATTACCAAGAAGTGTCAAGCAACTTCTGGTTGTTGTTGCCACAAATGTTGACTCAGCTAATTACTGACTTAGAGGAAGGGTTAATACCTATGCTCACGGACTTTTTCTGTTAGTTTCTTCTATTTGTTTTTTGCTTGAAAATACTAATAAAGAAAAAAAAACTTAATATGACAATCCATTACCTCAGTTATTTCTTGATTATTTTTATACTGAATTTGTATTTTATAAATCAAATCTCTTCTTTAGTTTTGTTTGCAAATATTTGTTATGCATTCAGCAAATATTTAAGAACATAGTATTACGGTAATTTATGGTAAATTTGGTCATATTTTAAGCCATGAAAAATAGGTTCGAGTTCAAACTGGAAAGGATTTCTCTAGAAAGATCTCAAGCAGTTATACTGATGGCAAACAATGTAACCGTCAGCTTAAAAAAAATCATAAAAACATTTTAAGGATTGTCATTGTCATTCTTTCCATTAGCTTCAGCTTTGCTGTCCACAATGTTGTCCATCATGGCCTCTTTATGGCCTAATCAATTTCTGACCCCCCAAAACTTAGTTTGACCATGTGTAAGTTGCAGGCATGCTGTTTATTTAAATTAAGTGGCTCAATTGTTTACTACCTATGATTTCATGTACCTGAAATAACTTCCAAGTATAACTTTTATTAGACCTCCTTTTTAAAAAAGAAAAGAAAAGTTAAAATCCTGACGTTAAAATCCAATATTTATTATCCATGTATGTTTTCAAGAAAAACAAAACACTGTCTATTAATGTCTTTATTCATTTTTAGAATATTTAAGGAAAAACCTAATGTTCAAAAACTATGCTTTCTTGTCTTTGGGTAGCATTGTAATCATTTATCTTCTCTCTCTCTTCCAGGTTTTCCAGGTTGCTTACATAATAATCAAGGCAGCCAACTCTCCTCGTCCAGGTATGATTTGTCTTTATGGTTCTTATTAAGATGGCAGTAGACTATTTTAAGTTTCACGGCTTTGATAATAAAACCAAGTGTGTGATTAGAGGGATATTTGGTTGCATATTTTCCGCCTTAGTCTAATGAACAAGTAAATCTATTAATTACAACCTTGAGAGCAAATGATCCTCTGAAGAAGAATTAACATAAATTAAGAAATAGGCTTCCATTAAATCACTAATCCCTTTACTTTAGAGTTTATTAATAATAATGTTTGACAATCTTGGAGTCCTGCTAAGGTGCAAGATGTGAGTTTTATTTAGTTATATCCATCTTTCCTGACAGAAATAGGCTTGAAGAGGGTCAACATGGATTTAATAGTTTCGTACTGTATGTTTGCTGCTTGGTGCAGTTCAATCTATTATTTATCTCATCTATTTACCTTTTCCATTAAATGTTCTCCCTTCAATTCTCATGCAATCAGTCAAAGAGTTAACAGTTGGTATAAGGCTTTGACAAATATGAAATTAAACATTTTGTCAATTTTCCATGTATAATAATCAGCATGACCTAAACCGTGGTTTCAGTCATCCATCACTGTTTGTATTGATTGTTTTCTCGTTCTCTTGTTGTCTAGTTGATCTATCTTATCATTAATGTTTTTGTCCACAGGTAATTGGATCTTGGAGCGTTCAATAGATGGAGTGACTTTTGAACCTTGGCAGTACTATGCCATCACAGACACCGAGTGTCTGACAAGGTTCAACATAAATCCGCGGACAGGACCTCCATCTTACACTAGAGATGATGAAGTGATCTGCACGTCGTTTTATTCAAAAATTCATCCTCTGGAGAACGGAGAGGTAAGTCCCACAACAACAAACTAATAAAAAAAAATATATTTAAAAATGCAGCAGGATTTACAATTGATATAACCATCTGAATGTCCTTTAAGGTATAGAGGACGGCCTTTTCTTTCCGGGTGGATCATCTAAATAAGTGGTTCTCTTAACTTTCAGTCATTCTGGTGATATGTTTTCGTAAGGCCATCCTACGTGCTCACTATCTTTTTCTTAATGCGCACTTTCAGCCGCAAATGTCAGGTGAGCTACAGTTTCAGACAGTCATTGAAGCTCACCTTTTTCACCGTGGTTCTTTGAAAAAGGCTGAGGGTCTTAAGAGAAAAAGTGTCTACGAAGTGTATGAGAAGAAAAGAAATGTCATGATCAGTTTTACAAATCGGATCCAAATGCAGAGAAACCACTCAGAGAACAAAGGAAAAGTTTAAATAGGTTTATTGAGGGAGTAATACAGGAGTTGGATCTGAAACTCAGTGAGCTGGTGAGCCGGAACTGGAAGTGAGAAGGGAAGTTCAGTGGTCAGTTCAGGGACCGTGGAAATCTTGGAAGCACTTAGATTATGCAAGATTGGGACTCACGTTTGAGGTGGGCCTTGTTAGTCCTTGAATCCAGTCTGTGTGGTAAATCCAGAGAATAGTGCATACCGGAGGAGTAATGAAGCGGACTGTCACTCGGATTTCCGATGGGTACTTGAACAGAACATTTGGAGGTTTTCCCCTGCCCAGTGTGAACTCGGTTTTTCCTTCCAGGGAGGAGAAGGTCCAGGAATCCAGTAACATAGGAAATCTTCCTGCCAAAGAACAAAGACAAAGAACATTAGTCTCAGAGAAAGAAAGCTTAAATTAGACTCAGCTAAACTCAGCTTGGCTAGTGTTCCCAAAACTGGCAAACACTCTGGCGTCGAGGTAGTGACAGTCCACTGCTCAAATACTCCTCCAGATAATGATCCAATGAGCCGCAGGTGTGCAGGGAGGGACAGCGAAGACAGGGCACCTCCTGTTGGTGGAAAATGGAGACACACAAACAGGCCACACAAACTGGATTCCTAACAAGAAAAGCCTTAGAAGAGGCAGATACATCCCAGAATGCTTTGCACGGAGAACTCTCTTACCAAAGCAGTCTTGCATTTGCTGTCACAGCGGCCGGCTGACACTGCCCCACAGTGGCGACTAGTAATAAAGATGGCGCAGGCACAGCGCAGACGAGGAGGAGTTACATGACCAACGGAGCAAAAAGCAGTGGTAAAAAAAAAATCCTCCACAATACCTTTAAGCTCCAACATTTAATTTTGGTAGTTGTTACATGCTTGGAAAATAACACAACCAACCTAACATAACCATAAATATGTCTTTACTTCATTAAATACTACTGGCATACAATTAAAATATTTAGTTGTATTAACAAATATTTGTGAAGAATATGAGTTTAGGATATTTTATTGATTCAATACCTGATTATTTTAATCTGTTTATTCAAATTGTATTAGTTAGGCTGGATCTTTAAATACAGAAAACATTTTAAATAAATGTCCACCAGAAAAAGGGTAGAAAAACAAAACATACCAAACATGAAAACAGCTCCCTGGTTACAACGTATCAGATAATCTGGTTGACTAGTGGCTAATTGGAGGTAATTGGATGTACTGAGAAGCGAATGTGAAGACAAGATGCTCTGATGACGTGCACAACCATTTAAACATTTTAATCAATAACACAAGTCTCATTCTTTTATTTATTTATTTAATTGCTAGGCGCAGACTCCCACAGCTTGAGTTTACCAGTGTTTACTGCAATGCCGCTTTGATCAGCTTTGTGTGATTGCATCCAGTATGAACAGAGAAGCAAGCCGGCTGTAACTGACATTAATGAAGAGAAAAAGGACTGGAAAACACACAAACACCTTCCCATACACACCAACCTAGAGAGGAAACAAACCAATCACACATTCTCGTGGCGTATACAAGCTTCTAATTGTTGATGTTTTTATGAAAGTCTGTGTGTGTGGATTTTACATGTGTGCAAGTTGTGTATGTGACGTTCGTGCTTGTGTCCTGCGGGGGAGCGCTAGAGGGGGTGTAAAGCTGGGAGATGTCAAGAGCTGCAAGGAACGACGGAGGTGTGTGTGTGTGTGTGTGTGTGGGGTTGACAGCTCCCTAGCCGTCTGATCACAGTGAAACCATAATGAGTCGTAGGCGATGTGTCACTGCATCGCACACACATTCGCAATGTCACCCCAATGCTCACACACACGACAGCACACACATATAACTATCTTCTTCGTTACTTCCAAGTGTGCAGCTTACACCCATCAAGTGTTCCCCCTTGACATGCACACACACACACACAAACCCACACACACTGTGAGACTTCCTTTGCTTTTGTTTTTTTTTTTTTTTTTTTTTTTTACAGATGCCAAATGTTGCTTTGGCCACATTAGAGAGACAGACAGATGGCCAGACAGACAATCAGAGCTCTACCCTGCTTATAATGTAGCTGCTTTTTGATTACTGGTTATGTGTGGGAAACATACGCAAAACATCCTTCAGGCTGGTTTAAATGTGGGTAACAGGTAGAAAAGCTCAACGTTTTGAAATTCTACTCTATTTTATCCAGCTGTTTTCTTCTTGTTGTGTTGCTTTGATTTAAAACTATGATGGAAAACATTTTATGATTTTTATTAATATTTTTATTTATAAACTGTACTTTAATAGAGGTTTAGCAGTAAGTTTGTCATGTACGGATGTTTTAACATGTTTACGGTGTTCTGTTGCCTGAGGAGCTGAAAACTATTTTAAAAACATTTTCTAGTTAAGGTCTTAAGGCTGCCATCTTTTTTTTTTGTAAATAATGCTAGTATTTCTTGCTAAGCTGTAATGGATTGTTCTAAATTGGGGGAAAAAGAACATTTAGGATGGAAGAACTCTTGTCTGAAATAATAAACCTGAGTAAAGTCAACAACAGAAAGCAAAAGTTGAAATATGTCAAAAAAATGTTTGCATTTTGTTGCCTTGAATTCACAACACCATTTTTTACAGTGTAACTATTATTTTTAAAGACAAAAGCTTTAACCCTAGTTGGTAGAAAAGTGGTGAACTGTTACAGTACTAGGACACATGTGGACAGAATTGTTGCTACGCCTTGTTCAATGAAAGAAAACCAGCAATGGTCACAGAAAAAACTTGAATCTGGCAAAAGGAAGAATAAATACAAATTCTATGAAAATGAACAAATGAAAGTAACACATTGCTTTTCAATTACGCTTCAATGGAATTATTTAAATAAATGTAGAATAAACTCAAGAAACAGCCTTGGACAAAAATTATGTCTATACCTTTAATGAACCCATTAAAGGTATAGTGGAGGATTTTCCCGAAAATTTGAAAAGAACTGCCCTGTCCACTTAAAAAAAATGCACATGCACAACCCATTACCCGCTCCCGAGAGGGGCTGTCTATTGAACGTCCGCAAGAGTGTGCAGAAGCCACTTGATGCTAAACGTATTTCTCCAAATAGCATGCCAAACTTTATTTGTCCAGTAGAAACTTCGTAACCGAGGCATCTTTTCGAAGCCTGACCTGTGCTTTCAGTGAACGCTTGTTGCATATAAGAATCTCCCAAAAACACTCTGGTCTTGTTTCTCCCTTCTGAGGCCTTTCTCTTCTTCTCATATCCAACTATTCTTCTAGACTAGGGGTGTCAAACTGGTTCCAGAAAGGGCCGTGTGGCTGCAGGTTTTCTTTCCAACCAGGCAATAGCACACCAGACTCCAGTCATCTCATCAAGTGAGTCCAATCTGAGCATAATGACTTGATGAGATGACTGGAGTCTGGCGTGCTGTTGCTTGGTTGGAAAGAAAACATACAGCCACCCGGCCCTTTCTGGAACCAGTTTGACACCCATGTTATAGACACTTTTTCTCTTACAACCATTGGCCATTTTCGAAGAACCGCGGTTATTGGCTAAAACCATAGCTCACCACACATATACGTCTGAGGGTGCGCATTTGAAGGAAAAGATAGCAAACTTGAGATGAGCACGTAGGAGGGACTTACGTAAACAATCACCAGAATGATTGACAATTAGAACCATTTATTTTGATGATCCAACTGTAAAAAAAATAAATCCTTCACAACATGTAGTTTTGCAACTTTCACTCTGGCATTTTTTTAAATATTTGTTTTCAGCAATGGTGTCCTCTTTGGTCATCTCCCATTAAGTCCACTTTGGCTCAAACAACATCGGATGATGTGATCTAAGACTTATATTCCTTCAGCCTGAAGTTACCTTCAATTTCTTTAGAAAGTTTTCTGAGCTCTCTTGTTACTATTCATATTATCCGTCTCTTTTATCTGTCATTAATTTTGCTCCAGGAATATTGGCTACTGTCCCATGGATCTTAAATTTCTAAATGTGCAACTGTAGTCACAAGATCTTCAAGGTTCTTGGAGGTTGTCTTATAACCTTTAATATGCTTTTCCATAATTGTCTTTCTAAACATCTGAGAGAATCCTTCCTTCTCTTCCTCTGGGTCATGTTGAGTGATGTACAAACTGTGCAAACAGACAGTGCAGAAACTACCTTTATCCCTATATAAAGGCCGACTACATGATTATAAAATTGTAGACACCTGTGATGCAAACCAGTTTACACACCTTAATTCAACCTTTAGCCACATTATTTTTAGTCTTTTCAATCAACATCTAGGCCTGTTTCAGGTGTTCATATTTTAAAATCATTCTGCTGAGCAACGGGTTAAAAGCCCGACTTTTATTTGTTTTTTTCAATAGTACTTTTATTTAATTTTATTTTTCTCAGATTCAAGTTATTTCTGTGACCACTTTGGGTTTTTTTCATTAAACTATGGGTACCTGCACTTTTGTCCATTTTTGTATTTTATTATTCAGTCATTTTCTCTGTTTTCATTATTGATATGTGATTGTTACTGGTGCATGTCACCATGAAACCCTGGACGTGCATAGCTCAGCAAGAGTGCACTTTTCTACAAAACACCGGTGTTAAATTGGACCTGGTTTCTGTATCAGTTAGTGTTGTTTTTGAAAAGTTTTCACGTTGAAAAACTACTTTTACACAAATATGTAGATGTGAACTAATTGAGCAGGTTTACCTTAAGCTGCTCTCTGAAGATCATTACAACTATATTCTAGCATAAGTTTCCTCATATCAAAGCTTTCCTGAATAGCTCAGTCAACCCCTAGGGGAGGCATAACAAATAGTTTAAAGAGCTAAACAATTATGAAGTATCAGTGTAAATTTGAAAATGGTTATCCACCTGTCAAATAGCCTTTAATTTAAAGGTTTAAATATTTAAGGTACCTTGAAGCCAAACTGGATCACTCCTATACTCTTTATAGAATAAAATGATGACTAGAGTACTTTATTTCATTTACTGATCACCATATACTGTATGGGGTGAAGCATTACAGATTATTTAAAAAATGAAGCTAAACTGTAATATTCAACACACTTCACTTGCGCTGTCACAAACAGGGGAATAAAAAGTTTTTTTACTGAAGAAACTTAAAGAGAAAATACATTTTGTGTAGTTATTTGATAGATTTTAAGTCTCGAACAAGATCGGACCACCGATTCTATAATCTGGACAGACAGCCTACTAGGTAGATACCCAGCCTCTCCCACATTCCCATGTTTAATTTCATGTTCGGTGAAGCTTGCAGGTTATCAGTGGAGCCTGAACTGAAGTGTGAGCAAACTGTTTTTATTCTGAAATCATTTTTCTGCACTTTGAATCTTACAGTTTGGGTAGGAGGGAGTATTTGCAATGATTTTGTAAAAGCATTACTGAGATTTATTTAGGATAATAAATAAATAAATAAATAAATAAATAAATAAATAAATAAATAAATAAATACTAGCACATGCAACAGACGACTTCTAATTTAGATTATAGATGTAAAAAGTATTTGCTAATCAAATATCAGATAACTCAGATGTCATTTATTTTATAGGAATTTGCAACTTACCAAGGCGTTGAAGCTGAAACTTTTATTTTGAATCTTGGCACCATGGCTCGATTCACTATATGTACACGTATCCCTCTGATTATAGATCCACACATCTCTGATCAATGGGCGGCCCAGTGCAGATGACCCATCTCCAACCCTGCTAAACTTTACCTCTGCCCGCTACATCAGGTTGGTTTTCCAGCGAATACGAACGCTGAACGCCGACCTCATGACTCTGACACTCAGGGACCCCAAAGATATTGATTTCATTGTGACAAGACGGGTAAGAGAAAAAAGCACAACTCTTTTTATGTTCTGTTCTCTTTTCTTTTTTTTATTCCTTTTTTTCAAAATAGCAAGATTTCATCTCATTTGGTCTTTCACATTTCTTTTTCTAAAATCAATGCTCAATGCACCCTCATAAATGTTGCACATTTTCTTTCTTTTCTCTTCAGTATTATTATTCCATTAAGGACATCTCAGTTGGAGGGATGTGTATCTGTTATGGCCATGCCAAAGCGTGCCCACTCAACCCTGATACAAAGGTACAACACTCTCTGCTTCTAAGTCCAGTTAACAAAACCAAACAGGTAATGAAGCACTTCCACAGTACTAAACTAGAGCAAAGAAAACCCACAGGCTTTTTTTTATTTATAACCTCATATCAAACCTTTTGAATGTATGTGTATGTAAATGCCTTTAGGGAAGCAGGTGACACAGCAAAGGTTTGTCTCTTATGTGACTTCAAACACAGGTGTGTTAGATACCAGACATCTGATCTTTTTCTTTTTGTCTCTCTCTGACCACACACACACACACACACACACAGACACACAAATGCTTAATCGTGTGTGAACTTTAGATGTCCTGAGGCCCAAATACGCAGTGTTACTCTGATGTGACACTGGTGTCTTGTCCCTCTGTGATGATCGCAATGAAAAGAAGTGATATCAGTAGTGTGTATGGAGCTCCAGTTTCCTACTTTTTCTCACCTCACCTTCAAAGGTTATGTTACAGAAGTGTTTACACTGACTAGAAAAGCCTTATCGGTTTGATAACATTGATATTTACATGTCCTGGCAATTTTTTTTTTCCTTTTATTTTAATATCAAAGGTCTCTGTCTTCCCTGATTGCATCACATTTACATTGCATATTTATTCATACCTACTGAACCTAAGAATTTCAAGTGATTATTAGATTGATTTAGCATAATAAATAACTTTATCAGCTGTTTTTTGAAGGACTCAGAGCTTTCATCATAAAATATTTTTGAACAAAATAGATCATCAAATCAAAGGAATATACCAGGAAGATCAGGTGTAAAATTGTGAAAAATCTACTGTTGATCTAGTTTATGAAATAATATGCCAAGCTTTTAAAAGCATAGCACAGTCGAAACAATGCAGGTGTCTGACCCAGCCATTGATGACGTTTAATCTACACTGGCTTGGAAAAAAAATTCTATTAACCTTACAAGACTCCAAAATGACAGCGGTAACTGGGCAAAGTGAAAAAATATACTTGTCGTGGAAAAATCCTGCCTTTTTGAAAAGGAGAAGCAACTGACAGACATGAAAGTAAGTTCGTAGTAAGGTGGTCTTATGGTAAAAGAGTCATGGATAGAAAGAAGACTACAGTTTAAAGATAACCCGCAATTTATCCAAGATAAATATAATAAACAAACAAAATAAAAATGCACTAATTATCAGATTTCACGTACAAAAAATACAGTACGTAATTATTTTTTTTTTTTTTTACAAAAGTTTAATGTCTTATTTGCGATTAAGCACACAGGTCTGCATGTTGATAGTCTACTGTTTTATGTACTGATGACAATGGAAGACAAATATATTTTCCCAGGAAAAGCCTCTGTCCCAAATAGTGGCAGAAAGTGAAAGTAGTGTCTGTTAAAAACAATGACGTTATGATGCTTTGTTTTAGTAGATGTAGATAAAGGTGATTAAGTAAAAAGCGAATTAGTACAGTACCTGTAACACAACAGTTTATTTCCAAAATAAAGCTATTTTGGAAATAAACTGTTGTGTAGTGTGATGAACAACTGCAATGATTTTAGGCCAATTTTGTAGAACCCACCATGAGACTGGATGCCAGCCTATACCCCTAATGTGACTGAAGGTGCTTGAGATCAAAACCTTACTATATTTATGAGAAATCCAAGGCTGCACATCACTCCGAACACACCATTTCCACCTTTAAAGACAATGCATTTGACACCATCTAGCAGAGTTGGGTTGATCTGGCTCATGGGAAGATGGAGCGTAATATAGGTTGAACCTGGAAGAAATAATGATAGTTCAGATATTCTCCATCCAATCTTTCTGAGACATTGAATTTTGTGGTTGTAACACAAAAAAATCATGTCAATTTACTTTCATATGAACTAAACTAATTATGAATTTTTGCAAGGAACTGTGAAAACAACATGCAGGTTGGTGATTATTGTCTATTTTTAAGCCTTTTTAAAAATCTTATCTGGCCAGGATGTGGCCCAGCCGATCCAGTTTGTCAGTAATGTTGGGGAGATCAGATTGGTCTCCTTTCTTTAGACACAAGTTTAAAAAAAACAAATGCAAGAGAGTTCAGGAAAGGTCATATTGACTAAAACTCTGTGTTGCTCAATTTCTCATATAGGCTCGGCACTATTGTTTGGGCCACTCTATAAGACTGGAATTGAAACACTACTCCAGACATTTTAAATTGAGAAACCTTCCTTGATGGGAAGCGAAATGTCTTCTAAGTTGGAAAACAAAGTTCGGTGGATTGTTTTTTTTTTAAAGTCGTAGGGAAACGGCTGTTCCAACCGTTGCATTTTCGAATTCTTCCAAGTGGTGCCCGACTTTACACGAGTGAATAAAGTGAATGTGATTGGTTGTTTATCAAGAGGGCGGGATTGTTGTAGCGGAAGATTCGCAAGCAAGTTTGGTTGTGGCCGGTTGGTCGGAAGCATCTTGCTAACCAGTTAGCAACTTAGGGCCAGTAGGTTCCCTATGGGAAATTACATTGGGACCAAGTAGCACTTAGCAACGACATGGCCAAGAAACGCTATGGACAGCGGAATCATGTAAGAGGAGGAGAGTTTTGTGTTGGGGGTCTTGGATGTGTCTCCTTCATCATACGTTTTTTATTTAGAGGAGAAAAGCGGGGACGAAGTTGTTGTGGAAGAGGACGCCAGGGGAGCATAAGCTTGATTTGGTGTAGAAGGCTTACAGCTGTAAATGTTTGAGCCCTTGCCTCGCAACGCTGCCATTTCTGTTAGCTCTACGCCTGCCAAAGACACAGACGTTCATCCCCGTGAACACTGGGACAGAACTCAATGGGAAAGTAAATTATTCTTATTTCAGCCGTTGCATATATTAGCTGCAACATATGAATCAAGATGCTCTGACCGATGAAATTTGATTGACAGATGACCGTTGATATATGATTGGCCGAATTTAGGTGTACAAGCTGACGTATAACTAACTGGCCTGCATAAGATAACAAAAGAAACCCCACAAATTTTAAGACAGGATTTATTTTTAAATAGATATTTTCTAAATTTTGGGATGATATCGTCTGATAAAGAGTACATTTATATACATGTTTAAGCCAGTATGATTTGACTTTCAAATATGACTTCCCTACAACTTTATGTTTTTTAACTTTTTTGAAATGACTATGACCTGGGTGACTGAGCATCTTTACCAGCACTCATCGCTATAGTAACTGGATGCCTGTTTTTTGGTTTCGGAAGAGAGGGAAAAATCCTACTTCCAAAGAATCCAAACATGGCCTTTTACTTTGCTTCTGTAATGCAGCTTATTTTATCTAGTGAAAATACCAGCACCCTCACACAATAACTCAATTCACAGAAAATCTTCAACTGAATTACTGGAGCCTGGATTTAGCCATAATTCTGTAACATTCAGCTTTTCGCTGGCCGTGTTTTAGTTTAGGATTTATTCCTCTCATGGGAGAATAGTAGGAAACCAATTTTCTATTTACTGTTGAGCTGGAAGGCCAACAATATTCTTTCAGTGCAACCTGCTCTCCTGTGGAGCCACTTGGCGTTTGTTTGGCTTTTAATGGTTTATTCCTGTTGTTAGTTGCTATTTTAAGTAGTTTTATTTTAGATTTGTAGAACATTTTTAAAATTATAAATCAGTTTTAGTAAAATCTTCAAAGAATTTTAATAATATTTAACTTTTTCTGTTACTGATAATTGATGCTGAGGGGAAACTAAATATGTTCTGTAGAGAATGAAAGGAAATTTGAGATTCTGCCGGGTTATTTTGGTTGATGAGCACAATAGTGTTCCATTATAAAGATATTTAATGTGAAATGGTACTAGACCTTTTTTAATTTACATAATATTATTAAAATATGAAGTAATTTTTTTTTTTATTATTCATACAGGATATCCAAGTTGTGTATTTTTCTTTTAGGTAAACCACATTTCTTTTCTTTCCAAAAATTGGATTTGTTCAGATTGTTCATTTGATTGATATACCTTTCAGGCATGCTACCACTCAAGTCTCAATTATTTTAGCAGGACCTCAACAGCTTGTGTTGAGGAAATGAATAAAGTGGAAAACCACAGAGTTCTCATTCTTTCTGTTCAGATGTGTAACAATCCCTTCATAATCAACTTCCAGTCCACAGAGAACCAATAAATCATAACAGGCTCAACATCTGTTAAACACATAATGACTCTGTATTTCTTCTCCCTGTCTATGTAGAAGTTTAGCTGTGAATGTGAGCACAATACATGCGGGGAGAGCTGTGATCACTGTTGCCCGGGTTACCACCAGCAGCCATGGATGGCGGGGACCTTCCTCACCAGACATGTCTGTGAAAGTAAGGAAAAATGCTTACCTTATTATCCCAGGGCTATGTTGAGCTTTTCAAAACACTTCTCCTGGTTTTAGAGCAGGGCTCCAAGAGTTGTGGTTGCTCATGTTAAGCTGCTTATGTTTCATTAAACTATATTTAAACCTATTAAATGGATAACCAGCATGTTTTAGAATCAAGCAATAATTCCTTCCAGCCAGATGGAATCAGACTTTAGAATTACTGGCTATTAAAAAAAGTTTCCTCTTACCTTCAACCTTGATAAACAGCAGTAAAAGGCGGATGTAAAAAGCTGTTTTTCATCGAACGGGTCATAAAATGTACTGCTCTGCTCAGTTTTACACAGGTTAATTTATCACCTTTGGTGTCTTGACAATGACATAACATAATCTATAAAGAAAGTTTCTACTGGAGTTGAAATTAAAGAACCAAATGTTAAAAATGGAGCAGCACCAAAGCACGTGTTCTAGTTTGCCTTAAAGAACCTGAAGGGGTATAAGAATAGTTCCTTTTTTACTGCATAAATTTGGCATAGCTTTTTATTTTTATCTATTTATGTTTTCAGAGTGCAACTGCCATAATAAGGCAGAGGAGTGCTACTTTAATCAGACTGTGGCTGATCTATCACTAAGCCTTGACATTCATGGTCAGTATCGAGGTGGTGGCGTCTGTACTGGCTGCCGGGACAACACAGCTGGAATCAACTGTCAAAGCTGCATTTCTGGTTACTACAGACCTTCAACGGTATGTTTAATATACCTAAACGTTTCACAAAGGTGTTTATACATTGTTTAGAAATGATCTTTTTTTGCGTGTCCAGGTGAGTCCGGATGAGGAGGACCCCTGCATTCCATGCTCGTGTGATCCACATGGTTCTATCAGCCAAACTTGTGTTGCAGATGAAAGCCAAGCTTCACCTGGTAGGCAAACTATTTTTTCCTCACTTTTCTTTTATGTTTGTCCATTCTTCTCTTTGAGACATAAGCACACAGAAACACACATTCCTTTTACAAATATTTTCAAAATGAGACTTAGATTATCTTAACAGTGCCTTGTAAATCCTACCTGCTATCCTGTGGGATTTATATAATTAGAGCTTTTGTTTTATAAATATCTGTGACAGTGTTAGACTATTTATATTAAGAGGTAATTCTGCTCTTTATAGATTTTTTTGTATCAATATAATAATAGTAGATCTATTTTAGTTGCTTCAAGGAGTTTTCTTTTCCTTTTTTGACCTCCTAGAAGTGTTTTCTAAGATGTGTGTTTGTCTATGTGTTTGATTGGCAGGTCAGCCAGCAGGGTCATGCTGGTGTAAGGAAGGTTTCGGAGGTCTGCGATGTGACAGGTGAGAGACCCGCATACTCACATACTGAGAGACACAGAAATGTAGTGACAGGTGAGCAGACCCTTTCGGCTCTTGTCTGCTCAAATTATTATTTGAAAATTCCCTAAAAGCTTATATTAAGTTCTTAGATTATGATTTTCCACTGTGAGCCTGTATTAATTTAGTAATAGTAACTGTATATCATGAGATGTTTTCCCCTGTGATTACCTTTTGAGTGGTTCTGTGGCCTGGCTGACAACTGAATGTTGTTCCCTGGAAAAAATTTTTTTACAAATGACTTTTTTTTCATCTTTACCTTAGTTATAACCAAATCAAATTAAAATAGATAAATGATTAAAAAAACATGATTTCCCAATCTGTGAATATTCCATCACGGTATAATACTGTATTTATCATTCCCAGCTGAACTTGATATAGAAACAGCATTTTTATTGTTTTATGTTTTGTGATGTTTTATTGTTATCTCCCTTTTATCTCCTCTTTTCTTTCATCCTTTCTCCTTTTTTTATCTCTTTTTCCTTTCTTGTTCTACTTACATTGCAGTGTCCATAAAATCTGAAATACTACCTGCATGAATTATAGTAAAGCTAATTATATACATAAATCAAGCGGAACACTATTACGATAGCCATACTGCTCCACTTGTGAAAGCAAAATCTGTTCGCCTCTTTTTGACATGAAGACAATTATTCGTATTGCCACATCGCCACATAGGACACTGTTAAAAAGAAAAGAAAAGAAATAATGATAATGTCTGCAGTGTTTTATATGGATTTCATTTCTCATTTAATATTTTTTCATAGAAAAACTCCTGGAACAGCAAAACACATTTTTCTCCAAACTAGTTTTCATTTTGACTCTTATAAAATTATAGACCATAATTTGGCATTAGGAAAATTTTGATTATGATTGTTTTATATGTGTTTTCCCGAACCTCTGATTAGTTCAACATATATGGAGTTGCAAGGTAGTTATATTATGTGCAAAAAGAACTTTTACAAATGTTAAAAGACAGTTAGATTACTTTCAGGAGGAAGAGAAAAAAAACAGCATTTTTTTCCCAGTTGAAATGTAAAGAAGTTCAAATGACAATTAAACATAAGATAATGTATTGTCTTCTTTGTCTTTTCGATTAACAGGATGAATAAGTAAAAGCTTTCTCAAAGAGTGAAAAGCATAGTTTTTTTTCACAAAGAAAGCATGGAAAATGTTTTATATGATGTTAATGCATATGCTATGATCTGGTTGAACTGTAAAGTGCCTTGAGATGATATGTGTTGTGAATTTGGCGCTATATAAATAAACTGAATTGAATTGAATTGAAATCAATAGGCTGGAAGGAAGCTGCTTTTATGTTTCTGACCTCAACCATTTAATCAAAAGTGAGGGAGTGTTGGCCTAGTTGTTAGAACCTCTGAGAAGGTTGCAAGTACCCAGTTTGATCCCCACTCTGACTCTCTGAGCAAAAGTACTTCCAATTAACCCTGTAAATGGGTGAATATGCAATATATTAACTTTCACAAATTAGAAATTTTCATTAAGATATGTTAACTAATTTGGTTCTACATCCTTGACCATGATCATGTGCTAATGCCTGTTCATTGTTTTGTTTTCTTGTTTTTTTAACTGCACTGAGCTCTAGCTAGAACAACAATAGAACAATGTTGTTGTGTTTTTGTTTTGTGTGTATATCAGATATAATGTAAATATTCTGAAAATGTAATTTAGCAGGCAATTCTTTAGCATACAATTCATTTTTAAAGACTGGTCACACATTATCTTTTTTAGATGAACCATATCCTACACTTTTATGAATTTTTGCTGATACATGTGAAGTTACTGCATTTTAGTGTCTGTTAGCGTGCCTTACAAAGGGTTTCTGATTTTGATCAATGAGAGGCAGACAGAAAATACTGACAGGGATTGTTATTGTGACCAACAGCAAAAGTTAACAATTTTATAATCTCCTTCATTGTGGTTAAATTAATTTGTCTTCAGGTGTGCTATTGGATATATGGGGTACCCAAACTGTGAGCGCTGTAATTGCAGTGTGGAAGGAAGCATCAACTCCGACCCGTGTGTGACCCCATGTATATGCAAGGTTAGAGACAGACTCACACACAGCCTAACATTTGCATTCAAACTCATTATGAAAAGTACTTTGCCTTAACCTTTCTAGCCTTGTCATCATTATTTTCGCCACATTAACACTGCAATTGCCTGCCTTGTGCTCATATTTGAAGACGGATCATAAACTCTCCTGCATGCACTTTTCTGTACAGGAACATGTTGAAGGAGAGAACTGTGATCGGTGTAAACTTGGTTTCTACAATCTGCAAGGTAGTAATCGACGTGGCTGCGAAAAATGCTTCTGCATGGGCATTGCAAGCCAATGCTCGTCCTCCACTTGGAACTTTGGGAAGGTAAGCATTTCTCATTTTTGAATTTCTGTCTCATGTTTAACCAAAGAGGAAGATACTGAACTTGCCTTAAATTAGTGTTTTTTTCTTCATATATATACACTCACCAGCCACTTTATTAGGTACCCCATGCTAGTAACGGGTTGGACCCCCTTTTGCCTTCAGAACTGCCTCAATTCTTCGCATAGATTCAACAAGGTGCTGGAAGCATTCCTCAGGGAGTTTGGTCCATATTGACATGATGGCATCACACAGTTGCCGCAGATTTGTCGGCTGCACATCCATGATGCGAATCTCCCGTTCCACCACATCCCAAAGATGCTCTATTGGATTGAGATCTGGTGACTGTGGAGGCCATTTGAGTACAGTGAACTTATTGTCATGTTCAAGAAACCAGTCTGAGATGATTCCAGCTTTATGACATGGCGCATTATCCTGCTGAAAGTAGCCATCAGAAGTTGGGTACATTGTGGTCATAAAGGGATGGACATGGTCAGCAACAATACTCAGGTAGGCTGTGGCGTTGCAATGATGCTCAGTTGGTACCAAGGGGCCCAAAGAGTGCCAAGAAAATATTCCCCACACCATGACACCACCACCACCAGCCTGAACCGTTGATACAAGGCAGGATGGATCCATGCTTTCATGTTGTAGACGCCAAATTCTGACCCTACCATCCGAATGTCGCAGCAGAAATCGAGACTCATCAGACCAGGCAACGTTTTTCCAATCTTCTATTGTCCAATTTCGATGAGCTTGTGCAAATTGTAGCCTCAGTTTCCTGTTCTTAGCTGAAAGGAGTGGCACCCGGTGTGGTCTTCTGCTGCTGTAGCCCATCTGCCTCAAAGTTCGACATACTGTGCGTTCAGAGATGCTCTTCTGCCCACCTTGGTTGTAACGGGTGGTTATTTGAGTCACTGTTGCCCTTCTATCAGCTCGAACCAGTCTGGCCATTCTCCTCTGACCTCTGGCATCAACAAGGCATTTCCGCCCACAGAACTGCCGCTCACTGATGTTTTTTCTTTTTCGGACCATTCTCTGTAAACCCTAGAGATGGTTCTGCGTGAAAATCCCTCTTTTGGCTGCTTAGAAATTAAGTGTTAACAAGCACTTGGATAGGTGTACCTAATAAAGTGGCCGGTGAGTGTAAATTATTGAGAAAAAATATCGATTTTCCTAGAAGGAACACTAAAACCAACGTGCTGTCTTTGCACCACCATGTGCGACAAATCATTAGAATTTATGTGTATTCTTATATTAATGCAGTGCAGTGCAGGTCTGTTTAAATAAGCTTAAATGGACATTTTAGCCAGATAGAAGCTTGGCAGGACCCTTTAACGTCCCCCAGATGAAGCACCTTAATTTAATTTACTGAGCTGATCAAAAAAACTCAAATGCCAGACAGGAAAGAGTCCTGGTGAATTTCAGAATAAAATCAAATCACCTACTTAGACTTACATAACTAGTGTAAATAAAACAGCAAAGCAGAAACACGATGAAACAGAGGAGCTATTGGGATTTTACCCTGCAGCTTCCTGATAGCTTGTTTTCACAGCTGGAGCTGTTGGTGGGCTGGGCTGGCACAGCACCAATGGGTTTTGTTCTCTGTGGCAAGACCACATTAGATCAGGTCCACTGCAGTTCCATTGTCAGTAGCTGCATTTCCATTACTCATCAAATTACAGAAATTGTAATTGTGAAAATGAATTAGCTGAATATTGCAAGTTTTACGGCTGTATCGAAATTCGGATGCAATGGAAACACATTTTTTTTATAACATATGAGTTAGCTGGACCTTACGACCTTGTAAAAAGATGAAGCAGAAGACCGGAAGTGGTTGGAGAAGGATGGTTTCCACTAGAGCCTCAGCTGAAATATGGATATAGCTCATGTGTTCACCTTTGAATCATTGTGTGAACAAATGTATTTACATGCAAATATTATGTTTGTTATTTAATAGATACCGGTACACTGAAATTGCAGAACTTTGGATTTACGAATTTAGCAGGATATCGACACAGCTTTGAGCACATTCGTAATGGAAATGCAGTCAGTGTGAGCCCTGCTTTAAGGCTAACAAGGGTCACTAAGGTAAAAAAAAAAAATAAAAAATATTCTAGTGACAGCAAAACAAAACCTACATCATTAGAATAAACCTCAGGGGTGTTAAACTGTGGAGGTATTACCTTTATACGTTCTGAGGTAGTTTAGAGTCTAAAACAAATAATCAATCAATAAAGCAATGGAGCCGGTATGATACAGGTGAAGGGAAAAGAGAAGGGTAGCCCATTGTAAAAAGGGTTTGGAAAGAGTTTAGGGGGGAAAGACAGGAAGACAAGTTTGAAAAGGAGAAGACAAGAGGTAAGAGGGGGGAGAGAGGTGAAGCAAGAGGAAAGAGTTTTTAACTGACAGGTGGGGTGGGAGTGGAGGAAAGAGGAGATGCTGACAGGATGACAGCTCTGATTTAGATACCCAGTGTGTGTGTGTTTGGGTATGTGTGGGTCTTATGCCTGTGAGTGTGTTTGAAAGTAGAAGCCAAGGTTAGGTTAATTGTGAAGACGTGTGTTTCTTGCTCTGGAGCTCTCCCAGACCGAGATACACACCATCAGTCAGTCTCTTTCAAGATGGAAGTTTATGTGGCAAATGTAAAAAAAAAAAATAGGACTAACCAAATACAAATAAAGATGTTTCTTATTTATTGCATATATTGTGCAAATGTGCACATTATTACTAATAATCACTGATGTTATTGATATAGACATAGCAAATGTCATATATTTTTTAATTTTGACATTCTTCCTGCAGTTTGTTATACACGGGCTGTGGAACCAGAGCCCAATTGGGAGATGAACCAATCTACTTGATCATGCTCTACGTTGTCGGTTACAGTTGTGTGGAGCATCAAATTGGGACCATTCACTGGTCTTTATAATTAAGCTCAGGGGATTAAAAAGCTTGGCTTCAACCTACATGACTATAATATATACTTAAGTTGAGTGCTACTGATCAGGGGACAACAAGCAAGTTACTTCTGTTCAAGCATAAGGGTTTGTTCAGTTTGAAACCAAAATACACTTTAGAATAACACTTAATTTTATCTTTGCTGCTTTAATATAATTTTCCATTGTAAAATAATATAAAGGAGCAAGAATCTGCACATTTTACATTAAATCAGTATAGCCCAATTGTGTTGCAAAGTGAAAACATTTGCTTGAGTTATATTTTTTTCTGTTTTTGCACAGGAAGAAGCATGCTACTTCTTTATGGTTGTTTCATAGAAATGGGACAATTCTGCAGATGCTGCTGTTCTTAATAGCCTGGTACAAGTAAACGCAAATCATAATTGGATTATTTGAGTTTGAATCCACAGAAATGATGTAGTAAGTTTTCTTTTGAAAACCAGTGTATCAGTTAAGAGCTCGACACACTTCTGTTTCATCAGATAAAAAAAACTCTTGAAGGAAAAGTCTGGTCAGTTTGAATTCTGAATATGACTGGAGTTTACATATCTGTCATGAAGACATGTGTTTCAAACCAATCATTAAAAAATATTTCTTATTATATTTTTTTATACATTATAGTTATGAAGCTGTGTCCAGTCAAAGCTTACAGTAGTATAGAGGGACAAATACATTGCCCTCCTCTGGTAACTTTTATACTGCAAATTTAAATAGTTTTAGATGTTCAGAAAGCATACTTTTCAATTCTAGGACATAAAATAACTATTATTATAGTAATAACAATCCTAATTTATCAACAACATGCTTCAATGTTGATACATGAGAACTTTTCAATGTTGTGACATTTCATAGTTAATATATTTTTAAAAATACAATTTCAACTGAACTGCATGGTGGTAAAAAAAATAGTAAACTTTTTTTCTGAATGTTTAAATTCATTAAGTTGCTGTAAATGATTTATTTTAAATGTAGATATTATCTTTTTGCTATATATTTAGTGTAGTGAGGATTCTGGAGACTTACTGTGATAAAAACTCAAATTTAAACGCTGACCCCTATTTGAAACCTCGGCTGGCAATATAGCAGGAAAATAGAAAACGGTGCAATCCAGCAAAAGCCCTTTCACAAAATAAGCCCTTTCAAGAAAATGACTTAAATTATACCAACCAATTACAGTGAAAGAGTTTTCTGCAGAATAAAGCTAATGACCTCTCTTATTCCTCTGTGTGATTGCTGTGTATTTAGGTGACCACTCTGGCTGGCTGGCACCTGCTTGGAGAGACAGGAGGGAGGGTGTGGCCTGTTCACAGAGAGACACCTTCTTATCTAACGGTCAGACACTCAGATATTATGAACAACCTTGGCTCCGCCTACTACTGGAACGCACCTGAAGTATATCTGGGAAACAAGGTTAGAGCAGACTTCCTTTACTTTACTGCTGTTCTCATTTTGTTAAACATGGAGTTTTCTCATCTATGCTGCCAATTGACCAGGTGTTCTGGTTTGTAATTCTATGTTGTATTGCATCCCCTGTCTGCTCTGTTTAAGATCCTTTTGAAGAACCAGTGAATATATAAAAGATTTTCCAAATGATTTAGTTGAATATATATTTTCAGTTGGAGCACACTCTCGATAATGGTGCATATTCCTCTGTCATAACAGAATCATGCTTTGAGTGAGCAATTTCTGATAAACATGTTTCATAGTAATTAGGATTACACTCTCACAGTTTTACAAATACGTAGATAAAAACATTTCAATGTTCTTATGACAGTGCATCATCAGACTTGCATAAACACATCCAATTTGGGATCTGAAAATAATGCCTCCTGGGTGGATGTCTGCTGAGAATATCCCCCTATGGGATCTTCACCTCCCTCCCAGCTCTTCTTCTCTCGATCAGTCTCTGCTAATGTCGACCGTTTGATATTGCGCTGTGGTTTTCTCTGGGCGCGATTGGACTTTTATCACTCCAGCTGGTAAATAGCTGCAGACCATGTTTCTGAAGTTGTTGCCCTACTACAACAACAACAGACCAACTGTGATGTTTGTCTGCGTGTCGTGGCTTAGAGGGATCTACCACTGAATTTCATTACATTGCACCCTGCAGGCCTGGCTTGTCATCTCACTTCTTTGTCTAACTGTCGATTCCACCCTCCCCCTAACCATCCCTCCATCCCAGCCTTTTTTCATCGGGCCTGCTCCTCTCACTCTCACTCCGTCTCTCCAGGACTCCCATTTTTCACCTGGCTGTTCCTAAATCATCTCCCTCCATCCCCTTCTTACCTCAGCTCTCTTGTCTGCCTCTTTCCCTATCTCTCTCACTTGCTTTGTGTCTCACGGGGTAAACAGTGTTTCGCCTGTTGAACTCGATAATCAACTGTTTTTCTCTCGCCGCCTGCACACATGCACACCTCGAACACGTAGCCACACACAGTAATGTTCGCATAGACTCCCAGGTCTACATAAGTTAGATAATGATGTGTTTTGGAGGCATTAGGGATGGCAGAGCAGAACCGCATGCCTCCTAACATGGGAAACAAACAAATTGGCAGAGTGTGTATATGTGCGTGCATGCATCCATCTGCATGCAATTGCTTGAAGCACTATATGCGCATACTGTATGAAAAAGCAGTTCTTTGCTCCACTCTCTGATTGCGCTACAGAGATGGATGCTCTTTGACTTGATGCGACTTTTTCACACACAGTGAAATGTCATTTTGGTGTGTCTCATTGGAAGTGACAAGCTGTGCTTGTTATAACAAGCTAGCAGTTGATGCATAAGAACGTAAATGTGTGTGTGATAATGTTCTGCATGGTCTCCAGTTTTATTAATGGCGTGAAGGCTCCTGCTCCTTGGCTGCTCGTCAGACCAGAAGCATTTTCAGATAATGCTCACTGAGTATTTTATTACCCATGTTGGTCCAAGGATTGCTCATCCACAAAGATGGCAGTTATCATTAAAGAGCATGTTGTTAAAAGAATATTCATACCGGGTTTAAAGTTTGTTTGACAGCAATGAGGCCATAAGTAGAGTTTAATTTAGAGAGCCAAAAATAACCTCAGAATGTTGTCAAATGAGGGTCGCATCCTGCTTTAATAATGAAAAATGTTACGTTTCTCAGTCTAACATTATCTTTTTAATGATTATTTGAAGAAGTTTCTTAATAAATAAAAGGTCACAATGTTATACTGAAGAATTAGTATGTGTCTGCATTCACACATAACTTTGGTTAAAGGAAAACAATGTTTAAATAAGAGGCAAATCAGATAAGCAGTGATGAGAAACTGGGCAGAATTAGACAGGTGAATGAAATTAATTACCAAGCCAGTCATCAGCACCAACATCATGAGAAATTTATCTCATTCAATGAGAGATCCATCCATCCATTAATCCCATGTGGTGTCACGAGGGGAGAGGCGGGGTACGCCCTGGACAGGTCGCCAGTCCATCGCAGGGCAACACAGAACAGAACAAACAACTTTTCACACCTAAGAAGAATTTTAGAGGAGCCAGTTAACCTAACAGTCATGTTTTTGGACTGTGGGAGGAGGCCGGGGTACCTGGAGAGAATGCATGCATGCTCAGGGAAAACATACAAATTCCAACCAGAACCTATCTTATCCTAATCTCATTTGTTTGTTCAAATTATGTGTATCATCATAAAAATATGTTTGCAGCAGAATATACCTAGTATATATATGCACTCCTATACAATTCACACATTACAATAAACAATTCTCAAGTAGAAAACTATCTTTCCCCTTTTATGAGCTTCTTAAAGTAAGATTCAAAACAAGCTTCTGGAACTTTCAAGACCCAGTGATCCGTGGGAGTGCAAAACAATATTTGATTGGCTTCAAGATGACACTGGCAGCAAAAAACTGAGCTGCTCTTAGTCATCAATCTAAATGAGATGAGCATACTGAGTTACATTTCCTCTAACCTTCTCTCATCTGCCTCTTGAAATAATAATGATGCCCTAGTCTTGTATACACCCACCTCCAAGTGTGACATTGTTTCAAAGTTGTTTTTAAGTTACAGAATCTGCATCAATTAGTGTCAGATTAAACTTGAAACTTGATATTAAGTGCATATATGTGTATATGTGTACATATGTGTGTGTATATACAGGACCTTCTCAAAACATTAGCGTATTGTGATAAAGTTCATTGCACACTAACTGAAATATTTCAGGTCTTTTATTGTCTTAATACGGATGATTTTGGCATACAGCTCATCAAAACCCAAAACTCCTATCTCACAAAATTAGCATATGTCATCCAACCAATAAAAGAAAAGTGTTCTTAATGTAACACGGGGGAATTACCCGGATTGTGACCGAGGACGTGGCCCCAAACCAACTAGTAGACCACTAAAAGTATCATCAAGTAGCCTAGGGTCTCCCAATTAAATGTACCTAGGTAAGTCTGGCTTGAAATGAGGAAACAGATTTAGTATACAAA